AGTGTGTAGAGATTATTTATGAGTTACTGATTGGTGTTGAAGTGTGTAGAGATCATTTATGAGTTATTGGGTCTTCCCTGCCTCCCTTGGGCTTTAGCATCTATCTCTCCTTCCTCTTCACTCTGTTTGTTGTCACTGGGTTAGATGTCAGCACTTGCATGGCCCTTCTAATACCCTAACCCCTCAGCTTCTGCAACAGGTGATTTTTGTTCCTTCTCTATTTCTACCATTCATTTATTTGCACCAAAGCTGTGGCTTTACCGTTCTTCACTCTGTCTGTAAAAGTTTACATTTTAATGTCAGATTCTACCAGTAATTGAAAAATCCCAGACAGCAAGCTTCCCAGCTCTCTCAATTTATTAGTCCTCTTGGATGTTCACTCATAATCTTACTGTAGCCTCGCGTTCTAGAATTTTCCCCATCCTCCCAATTATATTCACTAATGACTAGCTTTACTTTCTTGTCTGTCAAACCTGTCCATATAATTCATGCTTTAAGTCTTCTTAAGCATTCTCAAGTTCTATGTCTCTTTAACTATCTACTAAAACAATATTTAGGAGTGAATTTAAGCACACATGCGCTGGAAAATCACTTAAAAGTGCTTGATGATGACGTATGGGCTTTGCTTTAACATGGTCTGCTGGCTCAACCAGATTTCTTTAGTCAGGACCTTCCTATCTCTTTCTCTGTAATAGTTAGCCCATACTTTCTCTGTAGTTTTCAAATCCCCCAATTTGCCTGCCTTACCTCATTCTGTGCTTCTCAATAAATGATCTTGCAACCTGTCTTAGAAAAAAAGAATCACCTCTATGTAAATCATCAGAGTTTAGTTTTATAATAATGTTTGAATAAATAGACCTTTACATTCCCAAAGGTACATTAAATATGTAATAATTTTTTCAATAAAACTATTGAGAAGATGAAAAGTGATTAGAAAAGCACCTAATTATGCATTACAAGCATCTCCAGATGTATCTACATGTTTATCATTTCTGTTTGTTCCCACACCCAAAGGTAGGGTTGTTCCTCGATTTATTCAAGTCCATTCTTCCCCTCGACTTTAGGATGTTACTTGATCTTCCCGTTCTTCTTATTTCCTCCTCTTATGGACTTCAGTAGGATTTTTTTTTGAGACATCATCGTCTTCCCGTAATAAAATAGGAACTATCAGAGCCTTCATTCTTACCTCCACATGAATCCCTCCCACACGCATTCTTTCACTCATTGCCATCGAGTTAGAACCAACTCAGCTCTGACCCTCCAGCAAGTTTTCAAAGGCTGTAAACATTGAACTAAACTGCAGCCTTTAAGACAGCTGACATCTTTTGTTTCCTGAAATGTCTCCTCCTGTTTGCCTTATCACCTCTGCCTTGAAAACCTTCATTTGCAAGCATTTACTCTTCTTTTTACCTTTAGAAATGGCATTCTGATGAGTTCTGACTTCAGCCCTCTACCTTTACTCTCCTAAGTAATTTAATTTACACTCAGGGTAAAAATTTTTTGAAGGTCACACCCAAGGTTTTCATCTGTCTGTCTGTCTATCTGTAGTGCCCAAGCCTAATTATTATTGAATAAATAAGTTTGGTAAATATTTAAAAATACCACTTGTAACTCTACCTTACAGAGGTAACCACCAATCTTATGTTGGTATATTCCCCCCCCCCAAGTCTTTTTTGTATGTGTTGCATGAACTTCTCACTCTTTTAATTATTTGAAATCATTTCTATTTATATATTTAGGACCTTTTCAACAAAGTCCAAAAGTAAGAAGTTTTCAGAACCACCAAGCAATGAAGAGGAAGATGAAGATGTCAAAGCTGAAAGACTAAAGGTCAAAGAGCTGATGAATTGCCAGTGTTGTGAGGAGGTAATTTGCTTGCCTGGTTAAGTCATATTCAATATAGGATAATTAGACCTTCATTTGAAAATATATTTTTTTTTCTCTGCATATGAATTAATCTGACAAATCTTTTCTTTGAAAAATTATTATCTACTTAATTTTGAATAGCTTATCTTACAGATACTTATTTGTATGTCTTTTTTATACATAGATTTATTATATTCATTACAATATCCAGTGTAGTTTGCCCACTTCCTCTAATTCTCATTTCTTTTAATCCTTCTATCTTACCCCATCCTGCCTTCAGATCATTATCCTTGAGTAAATACTACTCTTTTTCACTTCATATGATTGGTTGTTCTAAGGAATGAGTGCCTCCATGGTCATCTGATAGGTGGGTGACCTGTCACAGGGAGAGCTCTGTGGGTCTGAAGAATGACTAAAGATATAGGCTCAAGGGTTCCATCAGTCTCTATAGTAGAATATGTCTTATTGCAAATACAGTTCTTATGATGTGGACTTAAAGTGTGTTATGTAGACTATTGATTCCTGATCAATATATAATTTCTAAACTCTATTTTTCAATCCCATTTCCTTTCTAGAAACCAGCTATTATGGTCAACAATTTGCATAAAGAATATGATGACAGGAAAGATTTTATTCTTACAAGAAAAGTAAAGAAAGTGGCAACTAAATATGTCTCTTTCTGTGTGAAAAAAGGCTGGTATTTAATTAATTTTTTAAAATAACTTTCTTAGAAAAGTAATTTCCATTTATTTTATTTGTGTCTGATGAGAAGTTTTTTTTCCTCTCTTTTAATCCTCTTAGGTGAGATTCTGGGATTGTTAGGCCCAAATGGTGCAGGCAAAAGCACGGTTATCAATATTCTGGTCGGTGACATTGAGCCATCGTCAGGCCAGGTATGATATATGAGAATGTGAAATGGAAAGAGTATGGTTTACATGTTTTAGTCAAATACATTTGGAAAAGATTTTTTATGTTCAAACTTTTTGTCTGTTTTGAGTATTAGTTTTTTTTAATGTACAGAAAATAAAACACACACCGTGCTCCCTGGCGCTGAGTCTGTGGTGACTCAGTGACCCTCCAGTCTCCATTCGGTTGTAAGGCAGGAGAAGACAGATGGCCCATTTCCGCCTCAGAGCAGCCAGCAGGCTGTAGGTTACCAGTTCAGGACTAGCCTTGTGGTTATAGCAGAGTTTACAGATCTTGACAGGAGAACAAGTCATTGCTAATACGTCTCCATAGCTCCTCCAGTGAAAGATGGACCATCTCCTCCCAGGAGGGAAGCTGCCTCTGCAGACCAGCTGGAGGGTCAGCCGTGAGGCAGTCCCAATGTGATGGTGCACACCACCACCCAGACCCTCCCTCTAGGAGGAGGATCGAATCCATCCACTCAGCACTTCTTTTGCAAAAGGGAATGAAACAAGCATTAAAAATAGCTCTGTGTTTGTGTAGGTGTTTCTTGGAGGTTACTCTTCAGACTCGGCTGAAGATGAGGAGGCAATGAAGTGCCTGGGATACTGTCCTCAGATCAGCCCCCTGTGGCCGGACATTACCCTGCAGGAACATTTCGAAATATACGGAGCTGTGAAAGGAATGAGTGCAAATGATATGAAAGAAGTTATAACCAGGTGAAACAATTGTCCTTAGAACCCTTCTGTGACTGGAAGTTGAAGTTCACATTTTCCATTTAAAAAAAAAAGTATTTCTGTGGTTTATCATTTTTATAGCGTATGGTCATTGTATTTTTCATCCACAACTTCATGATAGCTAGAAAAAGAAAAGCATTTTTACGTTTCTAATTATAGAATAAATGGACTTGTAGGTGGCACAAAACATTCTGATTTAAAAAGAAATATTTATTGTTAAGATGTTAACTTATTTGTAATTATGTACACTGGAGTTTGCATAACTTATGTAATTATAAAGCTTTATGGTTAAGCTTTAGTTGGCATTACCATTAAGCTTTATAATGGTAAAGCTTTCACTAACTGTTCTAGAAAAAAAAAAAACCAATGTTAACCATCACAATTTATATACATATTTACATATATATCACAGTATACTCATTTTTATATTGCCTGTTTTGCAGAATTACAAATGCACTTGACTTAAAAGAACATCTTCAGAAAACTATAAAGAAACTTCCTGCAGGAATCAAAAGAAAGGTGTGTTCATCAAATAGTTTATATATATATATTTCTAGTTTATTGTGTGATTTTCTTGATAGAATGCCTTATAGTGACGCCTTAATTATGTCTCCCCATCCCCCACTTGCCCTCTATTAGCTGTGTTTTGCTCTAAGCATGCTGGGAAATCCGCAGATTACTCTGCTAGACGAACCATCCACAGGTATGGATCCCAAAGCCAAACAGCACATGTGGTGAGTATAGCATTGAAGGTACTCCAGACTCAGTCTATCATACCATACTTCAGAACACAAGTTATACATACACAGCAATTTAACATTCTGTGCCACTTTTAAAATAATAGACATTCTTTTAAACTTTAAACTTCTATTTCTATGAATTGATAATAATATTTTACAGATTGTAGAACAAATCTAGTTAATTATTTTTTTTTTAATTTTTTTGTGTGCGTGTACCGTCAAATCAGATCTGACTGGTACAGGAGGAGATTGTCCCTCCTTCCCCGGCAGAGCATCTGGTGGGTTCGAACCATGCACCACTGGGATTGTAGTTGCAGTTCCTTGCCACTAGGCCACCAGCACTCCCCAATTTTTAAAATAAAGTGTGCTGTTGCCTGGTTCAACTCAAGTCAGTGCTGTTGAATTTGAACCGGTTCATAGCTGACTCTCCGGCAGGTGTTCAGAGGCTGTAAATCACAAAGGAGGAGATCGTGTGTCTTTCTCCTGAAGAGCAGCTGATAGATTCAAACCGCATGCCTTTGGGTTGGCAGCACAACCCTTTACCCAGTTGGCCGCCAAAGCTCCCTATTGCCTAATTTTTTAAAAGACTTTGTCCCCCATTTATTTTAAAGAAATTATTTTTCTCATAACAATACTTTCTTGAAACTTTCTGACCATTCAGTTCTAATTAAATGATTAGCTTGGTCTTAGTTTAAGGCCTGGTTTTGATGTTGGGCTCTATTTCTAGAATTATTTTGACTGTGTTGTCATAAGCACAGGCATCAGTTCTTATTATAAGTAATTGGTTAGGAAATTTTAAATTTACATTGAAATTCAAGATGCTGTTGAGTAGGTTCCAGCTCAGGGTGACCCTGTGCTCCGCAGCACACAGTGTTGCCTGCTCCTGTCTCGTCTCCACGTAATCCCCACTTGGGAGCCCATTATTGTTGCCATGGTTACAGTCAGTCTCCTTGAGGATGCTTCTCTTTTTTCCTGACCCTCTGTATTGCCAAGCACGATTTCCTTCTCCAAGGACTTCTCTCTCCTGATAGTATATCTCAAGTGGGCGAGACAGAGTCTCAACAGCCTCACGTCTAAGGAGCATTGTGGCCGCGTTTTGTCCAAGACTAACTCTGCTTTTCCTTCTGGGAGTCCATATATTCTTTACCAACATAGCAGTTGAAAGGCATCAGTTTTTACCCAGTCTTGCTTATTTGTTGTCCAACTTTCAGATATGTGTGAGGCAGTTGAAAATACCACGGCTTGACTCGGGTGCACCTTAATCCTTAAAATGAAATCTTTGCTTCTTAGCATTTTAAAGAGGTCCTCCGCAGCACATTTGCCCAGGGTAGTACGTAATTGAATTTCTGGACTGCGGCTTCTGTGAGTGTTGATTGTGACCCCAGGTGGAATGAAATCCTTGAAAGCGTCCTTGTTTCTGCATTTGTCCTGGTGCTGCTTCCTGGAGTATTTGTGAGGGCTGAGATTTTTTTCTTTATGTTGAAGTGTCATCTGTACTGGAGGTTGTGACCCTTCATCTTCATAGCCCTGCGTGCTTGAAGTAAAAAGGACTTGAAGCCCTTCTTTTTTTTAACCCATCTAGGCATTTAGAATCGTATGATTTCATTCAATTTAATAAGAGGAAAATCATAGTTGGACAGGATATTTAATTAAATGCCTTTTAACTAGTGAAACTAACTAGTAACCAGTTACTGATCTTGCACTAAACAGGAGGTAAGCACTCATCATGCCCACATTCTTTAAGGCTTAACTATAGTTGGATTTTTAAAAACCCAACTATCACTTAGACATTTTATTCCCTTCTTTTCATATTGTCTGTTTTTATAGGCGAGCAATTCGAACTGCCTTTAAAAACAAAAAGCGGGCTGCTATTCTGACCACTCATTATATGGAGGAGGCGGAGGCTGTCTGTGACCGGGTTGCTATTATGGTGTCTGGTCAGTTAAGGTAGGTAGTTGCCTGCTTGCCATTTCTTTTAGGGGAAGTGGTTTTTGAATGCTAGCATTAAAAAAATAAAAATACAATGTTGGTAGTATTATTAACGTAAATGTTGAAAGAATGTTTCCTTGCTTTAGAGTCAGTCTGTAGTTTCTCTGTATGTCACAAAACAAATACGCTGCCAATCAAGTCAGTTCTGACTCAACGTGACCCTGTTAGGACAGAGGCCTTGCCCACAGGGCTTCCTTCTTGTGAATCTTTACAGAAGCAGATGGCCTCATCTTTCTCCTGAAGACTGGCTGGTGGGTTCAGTCCTCCCTCTTCTGTTAGCCGGAGCCCTCACACCGCCAGCTGCGTTAGTAGTTTCTAGACTACATCTGGCTGCTTTGTGTGGGGGACTGGTGTACTTGCTATTTTACACGTTTATTGGATTATGATTCAAAATATAAATAGACTTGAAGCCATTGCCGTATAAATAAATTATATAATTATAAAGTATATAAATAAATTACAAGTAGGGAGAAGGGGCAGGCCTTCCTTACAAAAGGATTCTGAATTGTTATAGATGGAGGCACCTAACCCCATCGCACCATGTATGAAATGGCCTTAGCCATTGCCTGGTAAAGAACAGAGTACAGAAAATAGTGACATTGCTATGGAGAACCCTGTTGTGTGAATGGCTTGTAACCCTTTATGTAATGTAGTCAGAGGGACATTTCTGCCCTGTGATACTCTCTCTGAAAGTCCTTAACCCCAATCTAGTAGGAGGAAAACGCCGTACTCTTCAAATTCTACAAAACACTCTACTTAGCACCTGATTGGTTCTCCTTCCCACTGAAAGACCTGTGACAAACAAGGAAAGAGTGAGACATTGTCACAGAGAGAGTCCAAGGAGACAGACAGCTAAGTCAGTGTGATATTCCAGATAGATTCTGGAACAGGAAGAAGGACACTTCTAGAACAATGACTGAAATCTAAGTAAAACCTGGAGTTACATTAAAAACAACAAAGTACAGTGCTGGTTTCTGGTACATTTAGATAAATGTGCCGCATGGATGGGAGAAACGGAAACTGAATGAGGGCCTCTGCGGCTTCTGTATCATCTTTGCAACCTTTCTGTATGTCTCAAACTGCTCTGGAGTGAAAAATTAAGCACTAAAAGATATTTAAGTAAGAAATCAGTATTTTAAATTGTAATTTTATTTTTGTACTTTCTTTTAAATATTATTACAGATGCATTGGGACAGTACAACATCTAAAGAGCAAATTTGGAAAAGGCTACTTTTTGGAAATCAAACTGAAGGACTGGATAGAAAACCTGGAAATAGACCGCCTTCAAAGAGAAATTCAGTATATTTTCCCAAATGCAAGTCGCCAGGAAAGGTAAAAGTTTGCAAAATTGAGATATTTTTCTTTGTAGAGCAGTAATCTTAAATAATATTAATCATTAGAGTTAAAATTATTATGTATTAAGAATTAGAGCAAAACTCTCTATTCACTCTTATGTGCTATGTTTCTCTCTGCCTCTTTTCCCCTTTCTCTCTCTCTTTCTATCTACCTAGAAACCTATCTTTCTAAGTGCATCCTTTAAATGAAAATACCTGGGGAGCTCTGGTGGCCTAGTGGCAAGGAGCTGCAACTACAATCCCAGAGGTGCACGGTTCAAATCCACCAGATGCTCTGCCGGGAAAAGGAGGGACAATCTCCTCCTGTACCAGTCAGATCTGATTTGACGGTACACTCACACAAAAATAAAAAAATTAAAAAAAAAGAAAAAAAGAAAATAACCTGTATATTATCACAAAAACTCAGCTAACATAGTGTAATGATTATCTTTTCAAAATTTACGTTACTGTTAAATCTTTTCATATTCAATAGTATTTGTTCTTATTTGACAGTAATGATAGTTATTTTACATGAAAAAATGACATCATTTAAAAGTGTTTATAAAAGATAAAAATGTATTATTGGAGTTTAATTTTGACCATGAGCTTTAGAACACAGTAGTAGTACTTTTTTCCATTTTCCCACATTTTACCTTACTTTTGTTTTTTAGCTTTTCTTCCATTTTGGCTTTTAAAATTCCTAAAGAAGATGTCCAGTCGCTTTCACAGTCTTTTTCCAAGCTGGAAGAAGGTGAGTTGTATATATAAAAAAAAAAAAAAGCGTAAGGGAGCTCTTAAATCATGAAACAATTTAAAAAATGAAGGACTTGAAACTCGGACTTTTTTAGAAATCTTGGTAAATGAAAAGATAGCCTTTTGTTCATGTAATGTAAGATATAGAGTAAAACTAGTACTGTGAATATTTTTTAAATTTTATACTAATTTATTTACAAAATTCGAATACATTGTTTTTGAGAACAGATTCTTTAAATTTTCCTCACCGCCCCCCCAATCAAATTGTAAAACCCCATGATTAATCCTCCCTCCCCCTGCACATCCACAACCTTCTGCTTCCAGCCTCTCCCACCCCTCCTGGATCCTTATTCTCATTCTACAATAGCATTTTTATACAATATTTATCCTTTTGGGACTGAGTTATTTCACTCAGCGTAATGCCCCTCCCATGTTAGATAATAATTGACAAAATCATTGCTCCTGAGTACTAGGAATGTTTTATAGATCACTTGTCATGTGAACCTTGCAGTCCCTCAAAGACATCCTGATTTATCCCACTGCATGTATGAGAAAGTTTAGTTTCCTTATCTCCACGAGTTCAAGCCCAGCAGCGTGAGCACGGTATTCATTTCTTGAATTCTTACTACCAGACCACAGAGGGAGCAGTGGCATCAAGACTCCTGTGCCAGTCACAGAGAGGAGAGGGTGACTCGTAAAGTGGGAGGGTGCAAAGTGTCTTAAAGAAACTGAGTGAATCACTCCATTTTTAAAAGTAAGCAGTAGCATATACTATAAATACAGAAAGACGTAAAAAATATGACCAAGAACAAGAATCTAGTTAAAGGCAAGCACAGGATCTGTGGAGGTTGATGAATAAGAGAGAGAGAACAGGAATCAAAAGGAAACGTGAGAGACAGGATTATTGCGGAAAAGGCAGAAAGGGAGAGGAGCTAGAAAGGGGAAATAAGACAAATAGCATTAAAACTAAACGGAGGGTCGTCGGGGAACCTTTTGAGAACTTCAAGTTTAAGTTTGATTATAGAGATTATTTTTTTTCCTACACAGGAATTGTCAACCACTTTAGTAGTAATTACCACTTTATTATTTTAAAAATAGAAGTAAAATACTGTTTTCTACTTTAATAGCTAAGCATACTTTTGCCATTGAAGAGTACAGCTTTTCTCAAGCAACATTGGAACAGGTACTCTAAAGTTCAAGTGTGTGTGTGTGTGTGTGTGTGTGTGTGTGTGTGTGTGTGTGTGTGAATTTTTGTTGTTGTGAAAGTCTATCTGACTTAACATTTGACAATTTCACATTTTGGGGATGTCCAGCAGTCACATTAACCGTGCTAGCATCGCCCATAATAGTTGCTAAATTTCCCATCACTATAAATAGAAACTCAGTGCTTCCTATTTGGAAACACCCTTTTCCCCCTTCCCCCACTCGGTAATCTCTGTTATTTCATACTAGGGAGGAAATGTAGTATTTGACCTATTGTGATTGATGTATTTCAGTCAACGTAATGTTTTCACCATTCATCCATGTACTAGGACCTTCCTTTTCTGCACATTGTACACTGCATGCATGTTCAGCGTTTTGTTTTGACATTCATCTGTTGATGGCTATTTCCACTCTTTGGCTGTCGTGACTAATGCGGCAGCGGACACAGATGCACACGTATCTGTTTGTGTTGCTGCTCTCATGTCTCTTGGTTATATACCTAGGAGTGGAATTTCTGTGTCTTTGGGATTTTCTGAAGAGCTGTGGTGGTGCATTGGTTAAACTCTTAGTTGCTAACCCAAAAGTTGGGTAGTTAAAAACTACCCGCTGTTTTAGTTAGGCAAAGACGAAGCGATCTGATGCCAGCAAGATTTACAACTTCTTTAAAGTCTTAGAGCTTTAGAAACTCTATAGGAGTGTCTCCACTCCGTCCTGTAGAGTGCTCTGAGCCACAGTTGGCTTGATGGTAGTGGGTTTCACCTTATTTTGAGCATATCTTCAGGTGATAATTAACCCTTTATAGGGCTTCCTTAGTGAAATCTGTTCAAGTCTGTTCCCCGTTGTTTGATTGGGATGGTTGTCTTTTTGTCGTTAGAGTTCTTTATATATTTTGGATTTTAACCACATGTCTGATATTGGTTCCCCAAGTTTTTTCTCTCATTCTGTAGGTTGTCTTTTCACTCTGTTGTTAAAAGAAAATTAAATGTATAAAACTATAAACGGAAGTATCTATATCTAATTACGTTTATGTTACACAGGGAATAAGATTATGACCCAAAGAAAAATTATTATAGACTATTCCTGAACATTTTATATAATTTTAAATTCTCTGCTTATTTTGAAAAACTCATTTTTTTCTGTTTGGTAAAGAAAGTGGGTGATGGTTGTGGTGTTTCATATTAATATGCATAAAATTATATTAACTTTTTAATATGACAATGCTAATTAGATATATTAATCATAAATAACCTATTAATCTTATTGAAATCATCTTTGCATGTGATTAATGGAGATGACCATTTTGTTTGAATAATACTCTGTCAGTAAGTCTTGCTTGACAGTTTGAAGTTGATTAGGTATACTGAGCCTGCATAGCTTCCGATTAAGTTGCAAATCCTTTTGAGCTAATTGTAATGCACGATGCTGTGTTTGTTTCTTTTCTTACATTTAGGTTTTTGTTGAACTCACGAAGGAGCAAGAGGAAGAGGACAATAGTTGTGGAACTTTAAACAGCACACTTTGGTGGGAGAGAAGGCAGGAAGACAGAGTTGTGTTTTGAACTCATGTTGTGTTTTTTTATTGAACTTACATCTTTCCTTGATTTTAACTTTTATTCTAAATATTTATTTTTTGAATGTAACTAAAGAACCATAAAAATGTATCAGATAAAAAAATGCTTATTTCACTAGGTCGACTAAGTTTCTTAATTGAAATGCGGTGTTGATATGATTTACCTTCTTCAAATAAAGTTTATGTACCATTAGTTGAATATGCATGATCTGAATTGTATTGAACTGTAATATGTATGTTAAGTAGAGTATTTACTTTTCACCTTTCAAAAACAGTGCTTTTGAACTTACTACTTAAAGGAATAATGATGAAATTATTTTCAAGTTATCTTTATTTTTTTTAAATTTCTGTTATCACCTAAATATTAATGTTACACTCTGTATAAAATCCTAACACTTAGAGAATACGTGAAAGACAAATATGAAAATTTGCTTCCCCTTTTTACTTTCTGAGAGTGAAACTTGGCATCTTTATAGCCAGTCTCAATGCAGATAGAGGCTTGCAGGCAGTGACACCCACTAGGGGACACTCAGTTGCTTTGAATGAAATGAGGTTGTGATAGGTGATTGCAGACATGGCTAATGTAGGTTCTTGGAGTTTCGTTTCTTTTGCTTCCAATAAAATTGAGAGATATTTTGATTAATGAAAATAAAAGAAGAATATATCTAGTATATCACCGTTTAGTGATCTGATTATTTGACTTTTTTTTGGTGGCTAGAATGGCAGACATTTAAGAATGTGAAGAATTAAGCCATACCTTCCTTTCCTGTCCCTAGTAGAGGATCTAAATTTTTGGCAGCTCCTTTTAATGGCATGGTTTAGTCTTTGAATAAAATCATTGACTAGATAAATACCTTTTATTGGTTAACCTTATTATTGGAATATCCCTGTCCTCTATAGAATGTTAAGCACAAGATATCGCTGCATAGTTTTATGTAGGTGCTCACCTAGGTTTTGCTTAGAATTTGGTGCAGTATTAAAAACCAGACTCTTTTGAGGATTAAATTAACAATTACAAGTCCATCATACATAAGTCCCTTTAATAAGAAACCAGAATTTCACCCTGTGACACAGTTGAGGTAAGATTTTGGTTAATTAAATATAATCTTAGAAATCCTCTCTTATAGAATTCATGTATGGGCTATAGGTATAATATGATATAATATTACTACTACACATTTTATTTCTACCAGATGAATGGAAGTGTAAACTTGTCGAAACCAAATTGAGATTATGATTGTTGGCATTACAAAGAGCTTTAAATAGTGGAAGGCCGTGATACTGACAGACTTTAAGTAGTTGGACTTGTGATGAAGCTATTATTTAATGTGGAGAAAATTTGCATTTTTAACTCTGCACAGAATAAAGAAGACAATAAAGACAGTGTGTGTGATTTTAGGGTCTAGCCACTGATTGGCCCTAGTGTCCCATTCCTGTTCTCAGCAGAAGGTACATGGCTAATGTTTTCTCCGTTGCTTTGACAACTGCTCTATGCATTCCTAATGACCTTGTACTTGACCAGCTGTCTCAGAGGCCTTCAAACTAAACTAAATGAGCCTATGAACAACTTTCTGCTTGGGTTTTATATCTTACAGTGACATCATTTCCTCTTTGTAGGATTTATTTGGCCCTATTTTTTTAAATCTTTTTTCTTTCTTTTTTTTACCATAGTTTACATGTCTTATCATGAAAGCAAACTCATTTTAGATCCTTTGTGGAGACTCTTCTGTACTAAGGACAACTGTATGACGAATGCTCTTCGTTGCTTCTGTGTGTCAAAAGTGCATTTCATTTCTAAGCAGGTTGTGGCTGAATAGTACCATTCATTTAAGGAGCTATCATGTAGATCATGGATTCGTAGAAATACCCAGGAGTGTATCTCTTTTGGGATGTATTTTTATAGCTATCTGTGTATAACCTTGAACACTATATTCAACGTAAGAAATTTGTAGTTTAGCAGCACAGACATTGAAAAAGGTACTTTTAGGAAACCTGACTGTGCTAAGAAATGTGATTTTAAGCTAGAGCATGCTACTTGAGTTTGCACTTTAATAATTACATTTTATATGTATGAGTAATGTAAAGACATTTTTTCCCCTGTGAAGTGAAATTGAGAATATGCTGACTCATCAGAATCATGCTCTTATCGTTTCTGCAGTTTATTTACTGGTATTGCGTGTGATACATTCTCTTACCAACATTTTTTTTTAAAAGGACATTTGCTTTACTGTGTTTCAGTTTTGCACGTAGAGATTTTGTTCATTGATTAAATTATTCCTAGGAATGTTCTAGACTTTTATGCAGAGCAACAGAGTCTTCTCTATACAGCAGAATTAGATTTAACAAGTAATTAAGAAGATAGAAGGAGGAAAAGGAAATCTACAAGGTCAATTCATGAATTTATCTTTATTTACGATGTGAATTTTGTGATTTTGAACATATGTTACTTTGCTCAAAATAGCTTACGTTTCTGATCTCAACATTTTGTGCGTGTGTATTAAAACTAAATAAATACATTTGTTAAGGGAATTTGGGGCGGCAGGGACCAGCATCACCTACTGTAAATGTTCCACCTTTGATTACGTGTTGAACGTGAAGTCTGGCATGTGCTGAGTGGCTGTGCTCTGAGGTGAGTAGGGCCGACCCCTCCAGGTGCGGAACGGTTACGAGATTGTGGAGAACAGCCGGAGGAGTGGGCTTCATCTCAGCTCCTGTGAGTTTTACAGCTTGTTCTTACCACAAATCTGTAGGCTGCCTCGTCTTTTAAGTTTGCTTTCTTTAAGATTAGCATCATTATTTTACTCGAACAGCTCATTGCTGATCTTCCGTAGTCTTAAAAGACTATTAATCACCTTCGAGGAAACTGGCCATCTTCTTCCGGAGGATTGCTGGTGAATTCGAGTAACTCAGTTCAGCATTTTATTCACTGTAATGCAAGTGCTTCAGATTCTTGAGATACAAGTACACTATCAAATTTGACCCTGTAAGACTTAACACTCCCGGAAGAAAGATGCAGAGCTGACTCTCATATGCTGTGACCTTTGTTCCAACACTAACAGTATTTTATAGGAGCTAAATTGATTCTTCTTTGAGTGCTGTTGTTTTTACTGTTGTTCTCTTGGTTGCGTGACATTCCATTCTGATGTTCTTCTAAATTTGTTAAAATATACTCTATTTTCATGTAACATCTAAATAGAGAATAATTTTTAGAAAATAGAAATTTCTTTTGCTAACATTATAGTTTTTATTTTGTTTCCTGAAATAACATAAAAATAAAAGAATTTATTCTCAGGTGAATAATTTTATATCCGCTATTCTTATCTGTACAAGTGTAAGGAAAATGTCTACTTATTTTTATTCGCAATGTCTTGTATGTAATTATCAGTGCTACCCTTTAAGAATAAGTAATATGATTATATTATTAATAAGATTCAAGAGCTAAAAGCTTTAGACCCTTCATTTTATATACTGAAATGGATTGTTTGCTGTTTAGTATTGATAATGGATTTGAGTGGCCTATATTAAAAGTAAGAAAAAAACAGATGCTAAAATGTTAATGATTTTTTTGTACTATCTGAGATTTTAAAGAGAGGAAGGAACATTGACATGTGCTTGTTTTAACTCATTTTCAAATTAATTTTAAACCTAAATGGAATATTTTTGCAGATCTGATCTATTTTAAGTGTAAGACAAACTCTTAATTTATATTTTGTTCAACAGATTGAATTATTCTGAAATATTTACACTTCTATCACTTTTATTACAATTTAAAAAATAAATTTGATTCAAGCTCTTGGGCAAATTTCTTTTTATGCTTTTTTAAAAATGAGATTTTGAATCATATGAGTATGTTACCCATTCAAAACTGTAAATTTCCAAGAATACGTTTGACATGAAAATATATATTGAAAGGCAGGAAACAAGATGTGTCTTTGAAAAATGCCATCACCTCTTTTCAAGAAGCAAATCAACACCTTAAACGTTACTGCAATGTGACTGGAGAAGAAGGGACAGTCTTCTCCTGTACCAGTCGGATCCAATTTGACCGTACACACGTGCACACACACACACACACACTAATAAAATTTTTAAAAAAATTTTTAAAAAGCAATTAAAATATTCTGCAGAAACAAGGTGATATCACAGAATTAAAACCCAAGACCATCAAATCTCCCTGTAAGGAACTATTCAGCAAAAGCCTGGTGACTGAGCAGCAAGAAGCTGCGCTGCAATCCTGAAGGCACGTGGTTCAAGGCCACCAGCTGCTCCACAGGAGAAGGCTAGGCAGTCTCCTCCCGTGGGATTAACTGCTTCTGAAAACCCGCCGGAGGGTCAGCTGTGGGTCGGTTCAGATTCTACAGTATACAGCCATCACCACAGTATTAATTACATTTACCAGCAAGTGGAAGGGCATGTTCTAGTCTAGAAATGGAGATCTGGTAAGTTGGAACCGACCTATACCTGACTTCTCCAGCAGGTTTTCAGAGGCAGTTAATCACACGGTAAAGAGACTGCCCGTCTTTGTCGCAGGGAGCAGCAGGTGGATTCGAACAGTGTGCACCTCAGGAAGTCAGCCACTGTAAACCCTCCTCTTTCTCCACCCCACGTCCAGACCCGGTACAGTGTTGCTGCTGCTAGTGGATGTTGTACTGAGCCAGCTCTATTTCCTTCGGGGGCAAAGAACTTAGTCCCAATACAAAGAGTCCTGCCAGGAAATAAACCTCAACTGTTAACCCTTTTACAAGATTACCTCACCTGAAAACTATCAAATTGGAACTAAGAGCTGCCCCTGCATTGTGTTTCTTGGGCTGCGAATCACATGTGAGGAGATTGGTCGTCTTTTCTCTGGATGGCTGGATTCAAACAGCCAGACAGTCACAGCCTTTGGGTTAACAGTGCACCTACGGACAGCCACCCGAGCTCTCTGAAAGGAGCTGGCCTTCCCAGATCCCCCTGCATTCAGTGCTCATTGACAAAGCCACAAAGGCTTACACTGCTTTCTCTCACGCTGGTCACTCAATCTTCAGACCTTGTATCTGCTAGAGTTTCCTTGAAACTACCTGGCAGCTCCATCGCCCCCT